TACTTGTAGTGTTTCTTTCAAAAAGATCCAAACTGTAAATCACAAACAACTTACTTAATAATTTAAATAATAAATAGTATAAAGCTAAAATACAAAAAGGAACAAAATATAATAAAGGCCACCTTTATTATATTAATATGTATTTAATTTGGTATTGAAATGTAGCATCAAACTAAGCTTAAAATATCAAAGGCAAACAATAAATAAAAAATGTTTCCCAGTTCTTGAATATTGAATATTGTGAAAATCTTAATACAATAAGTACTAAGTTTTTAATACTGTTATTGAGTTCACCAATATTACTTTACCTAAACAATTACTGTAATCTTAATGATTAATTCCTTATGGCAAACAGCAATAAGTAAAATAATATGTTAAATAAGCAAAAAAAATTCAAGTGAAATTTATCAATTTATCTCAATGAAACTGAAGAAAAAATCATCACACTCATGTATACTTAAATAATTTAAAAACTTACATAAAATAATACAACACAAAAATAGATAACCATGAAAATATATAAAACAGTTAATATTCCTATAAACAAAATATTTTTCAGGCATCGCAAACTAATTCTCCATTGCTCAGGTTTTGCCTAAGCACAATTTCCAATGACATAAGATATTAATATTTCAACTGCAAATAATTGTTTTATCCAGCCAGCAAATTTTGAAAATGCTGGAAAGTAGTAAAAAAAATGGTTATAGGAGGGAAAAAGCCCCAGTGAAAGGAATACAAGTATATGAAATCAAATATCCCAATAGATTCTAAACAACTTTTACGAAAAGTTGTTTCTCTTGTCTGGAAACTGCGATCTAGACCTTCCACAGATTTGACATCACACAAATTTGCAGTCATAATTAATGATATTAATACACAGAGGGAAATATAAGTAGAGCAGTTAAATTCAATATTTTAGCTTTTTGAGAAATATCAAGGACAAAGCCAGCAGGAGTTGGGAGGAGGTGTCTTATTTCTTCTCTTCTTACAAACTGGAACATCATATAACACCACATGCTGATGATACAGGAAATTTTGTTTAATATATTTGTAATTTCAATCCCATTTTGTCGCAATGAAATAAATTTGTAAATCGTGTTGCACAATGATGTACTATTAAAAGACATTACAGCTCTATTAAAAGAAAAATAAATAATCTGAGAAATGGCATCTGGTGTCAAAAAATGAAAATAAAAATTTCTGGGTAACATGTTGGTAACCTGGGAGATCAGTTTTTCTGTAGATATTAAGAGTTGATTAAAATATTTCTGATAACAATACAAACTATGAGGTTACAACAATAAACACTACTCTTTCTTCTTATTTTACTAAATTAACATTTACAATTTATTTTCATCCAAAAATAAATTATGAGTTTTGAGACATGACTATTAATAAAAAATAAAAAAAAATAATGTGGAAGAGACAAGAAAGTAACACACTTAACATTGATTAGGTATATTTGTAGTGAATTTCAAAGCTACGTTGCATGAAGTTTCAAAGTTTGTCACTTTATATTGTGACGGAAAAGATTAATAACGAAAATACAATAGAAATATTTAGAATGTGTTTCATTAAAGTTTTGTTTTCTTGTCTTGCAATGCAGATGAATTAGTAATATTCAAAATGATAAAATTTTAAAACGAAACAAGAGGGGAGAGGGAGAGGGAGAAGGAGGGGGAGGGGGGGGAGTGAGCTACTATCAAATTGTTTAATCAGTTGTAGGTTTCTACAGTCATTTAAAAAATTATTTTCACCAATAAAAATTCTGAAGGGGTTAAATGCTCAGTTTTAAAATATGTTGTATTAATAATTGTAAAACAACAGAACAATCAGTAAAACTGGTTCCACTAGTAACTGAATAATCACAGTTGATCTTCCAAGTATTCACACATATATTTTTTTATTTGTTTTAAAGAAATGAATAAGAGCTTTCATTCAGGCTTCCTTCCCACCCCTTATAATTTCATTTTCCTGCTGGCAATATTAAAGTTATTTTGTGAGAGATCAACAATTTCACACCTTCTCTACCCGCTTATTTGATCCAAGATACTGGTTGGAGTGAATCGGATTAGAAGAATGACGTTGGAAACTTTTCCATGAATATTCACAAGTTACAAACATTAATTTACCCAACAAAGATGAACTGGATTTATATGACGCATGTAAATGCTGATAAATATATTCCGTAGGCGATGGAGGAAATGAACAAGGTGATGTGGTCATCGTCGTCGCAGTTGTCCCCTTCACTGACGACGACGACAACGACGACGACGACGACGACGACGACGACGACGACGACGACGACGACGACGACGACAACGACAACGACGACGTCAACGACAACGACGACGAACAAGAAGAGGAGGAGGGAGAAGAAGGAGAGAGAGATAAGAAAAGGAAAAGAAATGTTACAAAAATAGTTATTAAAGAAAAAGGTAATTTACGTTGTTACAACTATAAATTGCGATGAAATAAACATTAAAAATTAAATTGGCGAACTCACTGAAGATATTTCATATGGTAGAGTCGCACATATTTTGTGGCAACAGCTAGAACATAATATCTTCGTCCGGAAATATTAGCAAAAGCTACATCATGAACAGGATCTGTCACTCCTGGGATAGTTGTGGCAGTCTCCCAAAGGAACCGTTCTTCAATATACTGGAGGATTATGACCTTCGCTTCACCAGAACTCTTGTTATCACTTCCTGCGGCCAGAAGTGCAGAATTAAATCTGGAAACATTTAATAAAAGCAAATAAATGAATAGTGAAATAAGATGTGACAGGTAATGAAACCAATACACCGATAACACAAAACAGAGAAAAAATAACATAATTCTTCTTTGCTAACAAAATTTCAGTTACAGGCAACAAGAATTTTGAAATTAGACCATTTGCACCCACTATCATAAAATAAAATAAATTCTATTTTAGAAAATATTTCTTTAAACTTTTCACGCAATTGTTTATTTCCGATTTATCTATTGTATGGGTTTTATTGCAGGGAGGCTGCCCATATGCAGTTGTTCCGCACCCGGATTTTGACCCAGGTTTCCTTGGAAGCCTATCTCCGATGCGGGTCAGGGGACCTTTATCTGAGCAGGAGCGCCACGTGGGCGATCCCCTAATACGCCTGGGATTTGACTCCACCAGATGTCGGACTCAGTCTTAGTATCCGAACTGACTGGTTGGCGAAAAAGCGATCTCGTAAGGGCGATTAATTTTTGCCGGGCATATACCACCAGAGTTTTATTACATGCCACTAGAGTGTCATGACTATAGTGGATTTTCCGCCCTTCGAAAATCCGCGCACCTTGGCCGGGATCGAACCCCGCACTGGGTGTTCAAAGGCCAGTAAGCTCAGCATATTGCGGAATTATTAAAAATTACAAGCCTATTGGTTTCTAAATTCATATTTTAACTTTCTTAATGCCAACCTTTGCCACTACAACAACTACGAAACAACATATTCTTTGCTCTTAGATAAATATTTCACATATTTAAAGTTAATAGTTTCTGACGTTTAAAAAACTGAAACTTTTTATCGTTATATTAGCAATTTATTTTGACTCTTCTACATTTATCTATTGATTTTTACAATTGACACTGTTTCGGTGAAAGGCTGTTCAATAGTCTTCAACTTTTAACAACTTTTTTTCAATTTTGGATCCAGGAATGCCCTAACCCATATTTCGCAGTTGGCGCAGAAATTAAAAATAAACTACACAGCATTCGGCCATGTGAGAGGAGTTAATGGATACGTCGAATACTCAGGAATACCGGGAAAATCCAAAAACACACATCCAAAAACCCATAATTTTTATTTTAAAAGAAAAAAACAAATATTTCATTATGGTAGTCTGCAATTTCTCATAAGTCGAGTACAAACGGAATTATCAAACTTAATGCGTCACAACTCAGATGTCATACGACAGAAAGGTTCCAAGAAAGACGTAAAATAAATTTTAGTTATTAACGTGTTGCGTAATGGAACATCGTTTTGTAAATATATTATAGGTATGTAAAGAACAGATGTACTACTATACCATGAAGATTAGTTTTTTTTATATATTTCATTTATTGCAGTGTTATACGAATGTGTTTTGTTTGTACTTTAGTGTGCGTGTTTGCTGCTGCAGGCTTTTGGTTTGTTATATAGGTGTTGTGGTAAGATATCTTTGGCATTTTTAAAATAATTAAAGATGTTGTAATTGCAATGTTTTTAATTCATAGAGTTTCGATGGTTAGCATCATCATAGTTGTCTGCTAGATGGAAGCCACAAACGACTACCGTAAGTCGTAGTCGTAAGGAATCGTTTTGTGGCTCCATACTAGAGACAACTGATGATGATGGTAAGCATCGAAAGCTGCTATTGAATTAAAACATTGTTGCAAATGAAAATCTTAATTATTTTTGGTTTGTTGTTATTTTATTTTATGTTTTATACATGTTACTGTTTTAAATTTTCAAAACGGGTGTACAATTTCTAGTATTGCAGTAACTTTTGAAAAGTCAATATAGGGTAATAAATCAGAAATAAATGTTCGGAAGGCGAAAAGTGTCTGCTTGTTAAAGAAATAAGAACTATTAATTTAATAATATATGATAGACGTCAACATACCTTTAAAATTCACATATTTACTGGGCACTTTTAGATATTTCTGAAAGATTTTTTTCTAAATGGGTAGAATTACAAAAAAATATGCAGGAGGTTGGACGATTTTCCCTCATCTCCCTTTTTAGAACGAAGTTCATTATTTTTAGAAATAAAAATATAGTTTTTCTTAATACAATGTGGGTAGCATTTATGTGAATATATTATAATATGCCTTAGAACCACAAACTCGAAATTGCCAAAGGTCAACTCATGAAGCTCAGGGACAAGTAGTATGGATGTCCTAGTGCATTATCATTTATCCACATTTTTTTAATAAGAGCCTCATAGAATCTAATGAAATGCCGTCGGAGAGCAGGTGCCAAATAAAGTCCAAAACGTCGGGGGCAAACTTTACGTTGTAATGCTGCGCGAGTGTCATGGAAATATGTTTTTAAAGTCACTGTTTAAAGGTTTATTTTAGCATTTGTGACTGAAAAAAGAACAATATGTTTAGTTCTTTAGAAAAACATATCAAGATGGCGGCCGAGAAAACTCTTAGTGCGAGATTAACAACTAGGCTAATTTTAGGCTCCCCAAATAAAGCCGCGTCTTTAAAATATCTTCAAATATCTTATATATTACTTTATTAGCCCAGGGGGCGACCATATTTTCTGTGTGTGTGTGAGGCGGGGGGGGGGGTAAGTTCTGAAGGCAATGGTCGCAGTCAACTTAATGTTTTTTTTATAAGGAATTTTTTTCATTTATGCCTAATATAAAATCGAATTTTTTATTGTTTGATTTTATGGTAATATTATAATGTATGCAATTGATAACTGAATGACTTTCATTAGCGAAGAAATTAGTAAATCAATTTCGTAATATTTTAAATTTAATTTAAATTATAAAATTAAATTTAAATATGTTAATAAATTTTCGTAATTTTGGTAGTCTGGAGGCTAGAGCCTCTCCTCTGATGCCTCACTGTAAAGATATATATATATTATATTATATAATATATATATATATATATATATATATATATATATATATATATATATATATATATATTATTGGCGTAGAGGCATTACTGACCAGCTACACGATTAACGTGTGTAATTTTCCTAGGTAGTTTTTAGTGTATCCTTGGATTACGACAAGGTTGTTAGCGCCTTGAAGTGTTTGAATTTGAGATGATAGGTTGAGTAAGAGGGCCATCTTAAAATTTGTTAGTAAGTTGGAAACAGGTTTGAGTTTTCGAGATGGTACTCCTTCATCAAGCTAAAGGTGACCCCGCTTTAGGGTTGCTTCATGTTAGCATTCAATTTACTATTGATCAAGACCAAACTGATTTTATGATGTCCAAGAAACGTGTAATAGCCGAGCGCAACACTTTCGGAATAATTGACTGGCATTTATCTGAAAGAATCACAAATTGAGAACAATATACATAAGTGGAAAACTGATGTATTTATCTCAGAAACAAAGAAAAGACTAAAGGTTACAGAACATTGGGATAAATGTTCAACGATTTACAGTGGCGTAAATATTAACGACGTGAGATGTGAATAAAATTACATTTTTGTAATTAAAAAAACAAAGGATAGAGCAAATGGCGTTTGTTATCTGTTACCGTACATTTAGCAATATTCACATCAAAAGTTTAAGTAAACTAGTGGTTCTATAGAATGGTAATGACTTTCCCGTATTAGATTTCTATATCCGCCAGTCTCGGTTAGCTATTCGAACATTTCGAGCATTCGAGCATTTTCTTGTCCGCTGCCATTGCCGCCCAAACTATATTTTTTGACATTTTCTTAATTTTTCGGTTTCCTAATTGTAGAGCAAAAGTATTATTTTAAGATTATTAAAGAACAGTAAAGCCTCGTCCTAAAGGAATTTTCTTTGAAAAATTTCGAGACATTTTTAAACAACTAGCGTTTAAGCGCTACTGTAAATTCGATACTTGAAGTTCTTTTTCACAGAACATTTTTGAGTTTTCGAAAAACTTCATTTAACGCCATTTTTAGTACTTTAACTCACAAATACAATAGTGTTTACAAATTGCTGGAAATTTGCATATCAACGGCTCGAAAGATCATTTTAAAAAATATACATTAGTGTAATTTTTGAAAAAAAAACAAAAAATACACCTAAATGTAATTTACATCATATTCAAGAGTGCAATTACTATTATTCGTTCGAAATGTTTGAGGAAAAAATTGGAGCCGTTTTTCAGAAAATGACGTTTGAGCGTTTCTGAAAATGCTGAGTTTTCAACTAGTTTTCACAGAAAACGGAGTTTTCGAGAAACTTGATATGAATTAATAGTTAATACGCATGTACTCATAAATACAATAATGTGAACAAATTGCCGCAAGTATAAATATTAACGACATGAGAGACAAGTCAACACATTTTATTACGACAACTTTCTTTGCAGAGAACAAGCTATTTTAAGTAACAATGAAGACAATCTACAAAAACAATTTTTGAACTTCAGCTTCAAATGTTCCCAAAATACAACATGGAAATATGTTAAGAAATCACCAAAGTGATACCATTCAAAGGAAACGAAATGATACACTCAAAATTGATCACTGAAAACTACACATGACAAATGACATAACTAATCAACACATGACAAATTTCAATATTTCGGATGTAATGTTACCGGCCTTTAGCATGATTATATTAAAATGAAAATAGAAGATAAAATTGCATTAATAGTCTTCTAAGAGAAAGCATTTGGAATAGAATTAAATATAGCTACCCTCCTAAAATTTTATAAAAGAATATCAGTTCCCATTCTGCTGTATGGGTGTATCAAAAGTTGATAAAACACTAGAAACCAGTGAAATGAAATTCCTAAGGTGGGTAGCAGGGTACTTAAAATTTAACTATAAGACAAACAATAGTGTAAGAGAAGATCTTACACTATTAACAATTACAAGTAAGTTTCGTAATTTTAGTACCTCCTGCAATCTTTGGTTGCAAAGGTGTTTGAAAATCACTTGCTATGGTTCCATCATAAGATTTCTGTGCGGTTTAGATTGTACTTTAATAGCAGTTGAGGTTATGGTTCCCCTGTTGCCATCCTTCCTGAGTAAACCAACAACTAAGCGTGGCTGGTACTGATAGAAACGGTAATTATCAATGTTCGAACACACCACAAAACAAGTGTAATTCCCTTTTAAGATAAATACACTTCAACGAATAAAATACACGACGTTCACCTACTCACACGAACCCAGATGTCAGCTGATTTTAATAGTTCCTCTCTTCTTAAATCAGGATTGAAATTTACCTATACTCGATATAATAGTGTGTTAAATAATATAATAGTGTGTTATCCAAAGCAACAATACTTCCATCTGGAATGTTATTAAACGTTCTGTTAATCAACTGCAGCACTTTTTTCCCGTTCATTTCTTGGTTGTAGTCCACAGAAGCCGATTTAAAATGGAAAATTAGTTCTGCATCCTCAATAAATCTCATCTCCCCGCCTGCACGAACCATTACTGTTATTTGTCACAGCTCTCACTGTTTAGAACTCTAAGAACTTCAGTGTGTTAGCAGCTCTTATGAACAGTATATTGTGTATGCACCCAAGTTTCATCACCGTATCTCAAGAACACGACGTTTTGTCTCGGAGTTTTAAGAAATGTTCTACGTCTTCTCTCTCCACTAAAACTGATTTTGCTTTTACATTTTTTTAAATTTAAATCCAATGTCCTTTAATATATTTCGAAATGTTATATTTCCCGAGAATTTAATGTCTGGGTCTTTTTTAACGACATTGTATTTTTCTACATTCGGCATTGCAGTTTTATTACATTATAAAATATTCTTAGATTCTGTCCTGTTAACGCTGCAGCTTTGTCAGTATGTCTATCTAATGGTATTAACAACGCTTTTTCCATCGAGGCAATAGTTCACTACGTTATTTCTAATTAATTTATGCCAGAACGCAGTCTTCCATACCGAAGTGGATTTGTTTTTTATGCAGACATAACAGAAATGACAGAGACAAACCAATGACTTTTTCCGGACTGCCTTAGCAGGAGACAGCACTGGTCAGTTGATGGTCGCCATCGGCCATTTTCATGAATTCTTACTTGTGTTTTCGGGCCTTCATTTTTAAAATAAGAGTATTCCTTAATTCTGTTTTCTGCACATGTATAATTAACGTTCAATATATCATTGGGTTCGCATTTTTACGCTCGTAGCCTGTCATAGACTCAGAAAATATGTATAGTTCCGTTTGGGAGGAAAAAGGGAGGAGGGAAATAACTCGTAAAATAAAAGTGAGAAAATAAAAATGAGATGCATGTTTCCCTATTCCCTCATGCACCTCCGTGAAAACTGATTTGCGATAACTTCAATGGTTAAAAAAATGCAGGAGGTGATAAAGTAACGTGCCTTTCAGTATATGCCATCAATAAAAAAGTAACATGTAGAGAAAAATGGCTCATGCATGTAAACACAATGGATATCTCAAAGAGTTCCACGAGCAATGTGTATTTATACATCACACGGAAGAAGAGGTATTGACTGACCACAAAATAGATGGAAACATCAGAAGGTGCAACGAGAAATATTGCATGAAGAAGGTGGAGAAAGAGGAAGAGGAGTGATGAGTGAAAACGGATAAGTCGGTCGTCTTCTCTCTTGTGATCAAAACGTAAGGAGAGATGATTTTTAAGTTTTAAGTTACAATTATAGTAGAAGGGTTAAGTTAAAGGAAAGAGTTAAAGTAAAAGGTCCAAGTAATACCGACACTTCTTACTTACTTTTTTCCTCCCAGACAGCTACAGTTCCATCACAAGAGCACGTTGCCAGAACCGTTCCATACTTACGCGGGGCCCAAGTAGCTCTTCGGATTGGTTTAGAATGTGCCTTCCAAGATGTAATCGGAAACCATTCTGTTCTTTTTTGTCCTGGTACACTCATCGCTTTCTCCCAAATCTGACAAATTGAAATACACGATAAGAAATCAGTTTCAAACATCTGGTTGACCTCACCAAACAGTCACATTTATTACGCACGAGCTTCAAATTACCTCCACAGACATGTCATTGGAGCAAACGGCAACACGCTTCTCCTCACTACAATACACAATGTCATTGATGCCGTCTGAGTATTCCGTATCTGCCATTGATAATAAATGCTTCTTTCCGATACTCTACTGCAAATATACTTTGGTAACTCTCCTAAGGTTAACTTCATGTACTTCACAGTATTCGGCGAGACTACTCTCGACTAAAGTAATGTTGTATTGTATTCGGTATCAAGCTACACGCACAATATCAAACACGACGCGACTAAAAAAATTAAGCGAGCACAGATCCAATGGAGCAGGAGTCTATTAGCGGCAGTCATTCGAAACCTAATAACACTTACAACCACACACTCTTCCTTCGCCTTTCTCTTCCTTTTCACCACTACGGTTTAAATATAAGTAGAATTGACGCTTGTGCGCGGATATCCAATCCAGGGCTTCAATTGAAAGATTTAAGACGTGACGAAGCTTCCGATTGGCTAGCCGAGTCCCAGCTGTTCAAACGCCAATTATATTTAAATCGCACCGTTATTCACTGGTGGCTAGCCCAATGTGATTTGAGATTTCATAGTAGTGCATGATTAGAAATTACGCAAATGAACTTAATAAAAAATAGTTGATATTTAAAAAAATAGATGTATTTCACATTAGCAAACGTTTTTGCTTCCACGATATTTCGAAAATTCTCACAAAACATGATTGTGTGGTTCTACAATTTAAAAAATAGCGTTAAACTTCAAAAGGAATCATTCAAAATATACGTTTGCTTTTAGGGGAGAGGGGAAGATGTGAAAATTTTGTCAAATTGAACGGCGGGAGGGGAAGGGGCGGATTTAGAAATGAGCGTTCTCATTTGTTTTTCGTTTAGATATAAATATTCCACTTTAAAGTCATATCAATATTAACAACTTACATGACGAAATAACCAATTGCTTGGAATTAGATTTTTCGCTACTAAAAAAGATTGCCAGTAATTACTGGTCTAATTTGAAATATAGTTTAAATCAATTGAGAACTTGTTCGAGCTGGAACGTCTTTCCGTTCTTAAAAATGTGAATATAATCATTTAGATAGTAACGTTTCAAGTCAAATTTCTTAAGGAGAGTTCATATTTTCTTATTGTTTACTAATTAAGTAAAGAAAGCTAATAATCTCGAAAATGATATTTCGCTAACTTACTAACAGGTATTTATAAGGTAAAAGTATTTATTGCAATATATGGTTCAGTAAAGCCACAGATATATAGAACTAGATTGGCAATGGTCCATCTACAAATGAAGCCAAGCGGGAGAAGGTAAAATGGCAGCGAACGCAAAACTCTTGCCTCAACTTACACGGGTGGAAATGCCAACGTAAATTATTTTTTATCTTTATTTGTTTGCCAACCGTAATCCTATTGTCTGCAAACTGAAAAGATCAATAAATGATCATTTATTACTGTAATAATTACTATAAATTACTCTTTATCGGTTAGAGTAGGGGGCTCCTTGGTGTTACAAGTTATTACAAAGGAGAGGAAGGGGGTAAAAAGCGGCACATTTTTAATGAACCCAAAACTGCAATACGTGCAACATTAAAACGATAAAAAAATAGCACACCTATTTCATTGCTGTAACGGTTATGTAATATTATAAAACCTACGCGTCTCTATTTTCGATAGATGTAATAATTTCTTGAAACTTCAGTCAACTACGTTTTCCACAAATTTTTTTACATTGTTTCCCGCCCAAATTTAGCCTTTTCCCTATTTTACATATTTAATACACACGAAATATTATATTAATAGTATGTTTCATTATCTAAAATGCATTGTAGTGAAGATTACAAGTTTCCTATGATAGAAGAGTACAACATGACGCAACGCCAAGATACGGGCCGATGTGACAAATGAGCATGAGGGAATATTAAAAGTTATTCGAAGATGTAATTGAACATGCAAGTACAAAAGTCGATACATTAGTTTAAATATGGGTTTCTATAACTTACATTTTCGATTTCTTACATAATATTTGGCATAGCATTCTTCAACACTGTACTCAATGATTAGTTCATTCCAATTAATATTGTTTGTATTGATAGACGCCATTTTGCTCATATGCCTCATAGCGTAATATTTGATCCTGCGCCGACCGAGCGGAATTTCAGTTGTAAACGAGTACTTGTAATCTAAGAATCTTAGCAGTTATTCTCCGACACTTCGGCAATGGACAATTCCCAAATGACGATTGACAAAATGGAATTCGATGTTTTCGAGGAAGGTGAGTGATAAATTGAACTGTATTGTATATAATCTTATTTGTCACTACGTTGCTACCTGCAATAATAGTTGTCACTCACAACGGTGCAAAATTCATCCACACTAATGAAAACTGATCCATGTTGCTACCGAGATGCACAATATTTGTTATATTTTTAAATACAAGTTTTTATATGTTTTGAAATTATGAATTAAAATATATTCAAATGCCATTAACGGTATTTTAATCAATAATACAAGTGATATTTTCTAAAATTCAATTACGGTATCCTTATAGGAATACTTTTTTCAAGATTTTAGTTCTTCAATAATTCTTGTAATATTGCCAAGGACAGCCATAATACTATTTTCTAGTTAACAAACAGAATTTGAAGAAGTAAACTCTTTACTTACTTCTTCAAGAACAATCATACGTCACTCACTTATCTGAAAGATTTGTTGAGTTATAAAGAGTCCACATCATTATTATGAAAAATTTTAACTATAGGGTGCACTAAAAGTCTCCATACTTGAGATTTTGCCAAGTCAGATCACTAATAATCTTATAACTTAAAAATATAAAAAACATTATATTTCAGAAACAAGTCATTGCATTATCTGCATAAAAACTTATGCAGATAGTGATACATTTTTCTCTTTTCAAATTAAAAATATTAAAAAGTATGGACACTAGCAATAGAAAAATTCGATACAAAATAAAGATTGTCAACCTTCTCGGCCAAGAGAATGAAGTTACTTCGGAAGGATTCTACATATTCAACAGTACAAGTGGTGTTATACAAATGAGGCAAACACTCTCCGCAGAGATTAATTTTAAGAAATTGAATACTACTTCAATAATATTTAAAATTTCCATTAATGTCAAGAAATACCCTGTATGTTTTCGATGCAGAAATTGCAATTCATCCAAAATTAAAAGACTTATTAAAACGACTCAATGTAAGATTAACACTACGTATTGGAATTATCTTTTAAAAGTTTTCCTTTGTTACTTACATATTGCCCTTTTCTTGTCAAAAAAATACACACATCTCTGTTTATAATTACTAGTTCATTAGGCAAGATATGTTGTGGTAATGCTGTTGCAGTAGTTTCTATCAGATCTTCTGATGTCTTCGATTTCAATACATTAGCATTATGAAGCAGAAATGATAAATTTGGTTGCATACCCTTCATTGTTGACTACCATAGAAAACCTAATGTTGAATTTTATAGAATACCTTAGCTTATTGGGCTTAATCTTAGTAGTCTTTAATATGTTACTTTTATTGAAACAATATTTATATATTGCAAACAATGAGATATGCTTTAATTATTGACTGCACTAAGCCATGATGTCATCTATAATTCTAACTTTGGAAGAAATATTTTACAATTTTAAAACATTGCTTTTGAGAAGAGAAATTCTTTTTTATCTCAAGGTTTAGTATTTCATTTGTAAATATGTCAGAAAGTATGTTGTAAATCTGCAATGCGTTTTTCAGATTCATGAAATTCTTTTAGCTTCCATAGAAGATAATTTTGAAAAACCAGAGAGTTATCATATGGAGAGTAAATTCATTTGTGACAGGTTCATCCTCTTCTTGAAAAGTTGGGTTTTCTATTTCACAATGCCAGGAGAGAAACTTTATGACAGAAATCAGTTGATATAATGCAAATTGTTTCAGTTACAATTCTCTTAACATTATAAACAAGTATACGAACACTTTGCAATGATAATATATTTGCCAGAATATTATTTAGGCAAACACAGAGAATATCTTTTGGGTTTCTTTCATATGTTAATCTCTTTGAGGGACACATTTTATGCATCCTAGGTGTTTGTGAGTTGGGATAATTTACATAATGGATTTTGTTGAGTTTTGTTGCAATATCTGAAAAATGATTTTTTTAATGAGTACATTTTCTTTGGAGAAGATTCTATTTTTTTATTGCCAACAGCTTCAGTGCTTCTATTTTCCCTTTTTGGATAGTTGTTTGTTTACTATTTCATATTCCTATAATATTCCAGATTTGTTCCAGTTACTTGGTTTAATTTTTAATTTCTTTGTAAGACCAAATTCATAGCTAAGAAATACTTTGAATTTTTGTAGTATTAGTTCTAACAAATTGTTTGATGATGATGTACACACTTTTTTCTATCAAAAAACTTTTTACGTCTTTTATTTTTTGGTTTGATAAGATTTATTTCCTAAGCTGAAATGACAATTGGCTTAACTAGCGGCCACAATGAGCAAAAATGCTTCTGAAAAGAAAAAAAAACAGACAAAATTTTTTTTTCCAGTAGCACGAAATCTGCCTAAGATCAATAAATAAAATATCCTTGAATCACACTGCAATACATTGAACATTTTACCCATAGCAGCCTTTATGCAAATTTTCAAAAACATAGTCTAGTGTATACAAGGCAATATATCATGATATAAGAAATTGTTGCTATTCCTTAACACGTGTGACTTGCAAATATTTAATGGCCGGCGGCCTCTTTCTTGGAGCCGTGCTGTCACAAGCTGCAATGTAGCACTGTGTATAGAATTCAATCGGTACATGCAGTATGAGAACATTTGGAATAACACAATCAAATATTGGCATTTTTCTGCCAAAATGGATGTAATTGTTTTGCATTTTCCGTCGATTTCCACTAATAAGTCATTTTTTAACCTTTTTTATGCCCTTTGTCGCTGCTTTAATCGATTTCAATATGACTTTAATGCTATTTACATCAAACAATATTTACGAGGTGCAACAATTGTTCACTGCAGAATTCCTGAGTAGCCTATTGGATTTCTTCGCTCATATATTGTAATGTCAGCCGTTGTGAATGTAATCTGAGGTCCTGCGACGCCTATCGGCGCCATTGTCAGTACGGCTGATTTCGCGATAAAGGCAGAGATTTTCTTTTAAAGACCAGTCCAAACCAAAGGTTTGCAGGTTGAATTTACTTGAACAAAACATTCTCGATTACATCAGTAATATACCCAACAGGTTGAGTTGTCCATCTGAAGTGGTTTTGATCGATCTTTTTACGTAATTTTTCTTTGATTTGGGGGCATTTTAGAGCATTTTAAGATCATTCTATTTATCATTTTTGGCAATGTTTTAAGTCATCAAAACCCGCCCCCAAGTCATAAACATTGTGACATCAAGGACCCACAAAACATGGTTTCTTGCTACAATACGTGAGAGAGTATTTTTTGTTCTAAATTTAGCAACAGGATTGATTAGCTTTTGGTAGGGCCCTGTAATAAGTTTTTTCTGCCGAAACTTCGCCATTTTTTCGCGCAGTATTACATAACTTACTCTGTACTCCGAAGCGACTAAGTTAAAATAAGAGCGACGAGATATGCCCTAATGAGTAGGAATGGGAGATTTAATCGTGATTCGTGAAACAATCTATTATTTCGTACTATTAATAGAAAAATTGGAATCGATTATATTTACAGCGATTAATTTACTTATATATTAAGTTTAGCTCGTTTATTTTAATTCAGATATTAATTTCCAAGAGAAGCAAAATATGAATGTCCATCTCACCTTCTGAACCTTAGCAAGGAAATTCCTCGTCTGTTTATCTCTCAAACTGCAAAACATAGACACGATTAATTTCCTGATAGTAAAGCTAATAAAAATGAGAAGTCACTATGTAATACATGTTACAATGTACGTAGTTTATGTTTCTATTTTGATATAGTTCATTTGAAGATGTTATTGAGATTTATATTATATCAAAATGTTTTTGTAAAATAACATTTTATTTATTTCGTCGTTTATTAGAAGAAAAAATAATTGATTACGTAAGTTCGATTAAGAAGTTGCAGTATTCTTGTGCAAAAGCCGTGAGTATTATAATCTGTATTGAATTTTAAAACGTTAACGTTATTTTAGTTGATGAACATGCCTTTTCTAATTTCATTAAAATAACAACTAAATTTGACATAAAAACAAAGTTTAATAAATAAAATATAACAAGACAGCAAACTGAGTAATTCGCATTATCGTGATACGTTTTCTTAAAACAAGTGAAGTTACTAAACGATTACTTAATTAACACACGAAAAATTAATTATTTTACGCAATATTTAAAACATGTGATAAATTAATCGATTATATAAGATTAATCGATGCATATTTGGAAGTTTGATATTAATCGATTATTACTCAGTTCTACTCATGAGTGACATAACAAGACTAGTTTCTAGGAATGGCAAATACAGCTATGGCGTCATTAGAGGTTGTACGTACTTTATCGCCATCGATATTGTTATCAAAAAATTCAATAATGTGACCCTTGTGCTTCTGTGCGATTTAGTACGCAATTTTCATTGCAGAATACTGACATACTTTGTAATGAAAAAAACGCAAATGAAACAAATGCGTATTTACTTTATTTCTAGGGAGTCCGAAGTCATCGTGATTTATAATCTGCCTTATGCAGTGTCATTGAGCAAGTTATTGCAACTTCTACTAAACTACTACTGCCAGTAACAATGTTGTTGCTGCTGCTGATGATGATGATGATAATAATAATAATAATAATAATAATAATAATAATAATAATAATAATAATAATAACAATATTAATGAAGAAGAAGAAAAAGGTTACTGTTCAAGAGTTGAATTGAATGCCATTACATCAAGAAAGTTATACATATTCATTATTTATTTATTAACTCATTTATTTAATCTCCAAACTTAAATATTTATGACAATATTTGCTCCTTTTACCGTTACTACAAAAAACTAAAATGTCCCGTGTTTTTATGTTTTCAAATTGTGGTCACCTTCGCTGTAATTGACATTCAAGTACAAATATCGAAACATTAGTGTAAATATGGGCGCCTATGTGTTTATTTCTTAAATATGCAATAATATTGCAATAATATTAGTAATATAGTAGTATAGTAATATTAGTTAATTATATAGTATTAGTAATATTAGTAGTATAGTGCAATATTATTCTTGATCTCCCTACTCCTTGAAATGAGTTTTCTCCAATTGTTATTGTTCGGGTTGATATACGCCATTTTGATCATATTTTCCATGACGTATTCTTCCTGCGCAGGCGCAATTTTACTCACCGTGTCACAATAATCTAGTAATCCTTAGTAATTGTCGAAAGTCTTCAAGTGAAGCAGTGGAGACGAACCAAACGTGAAGTAGCTCCAAACATGGATTTGGTCAAGAAAATCGAGGCCTTTCAGGAAGGTGCGTAATTAATATTTTTTTGTCACTACGTCGCACCCTAATAATAGTTAGTTTCTCCCCATTAGAACTAAAATAATCATCTATGGTAGAATAATGAAAACTAATCCACGTTTCTTCCCACAGTGACAATGTAAGTGATAGTTAAAATAAGAGCAATACTATTTATAGATTGTTATGAAAAATAAATCACTTAAGCAACAGTTTACTGATATTTCTAGAGAAAGCCACAAAGGATGACTATATACACCAAATGTATTTTTGGTTGAAATATAGACATATACATAAATATAAATGAATAATATATAACAAATTAATTATATATATATATANATATATATATGATAGTACATAGACATAGATCAATGCCCTCTAATAAAAAAAACTGCACAATTTTGAGGGGAATTAAGTTTTCAGATCTACTTAAAAACTATTCAGTTTCTAATATCAGTATATAGTTACTTTGGTAGTAAAAAAACCAGATAATAAAAATATCCATATCACAAGAACAGTTTTGTTAATCGATAATATGAGTGATATATATTCTAAAATTCAATTACCCTTTTAGGAATACTTCATTCATGATTGCGTTTCTGCAATACATCATAATTCTAATTTTCAGTTAGCAAACTGCCTAATTGAAATAAATGTGTTTTTGCTTTTGCCTTCAAGAAGGATCATATTTCTTTGACATATTTGAAAGTTTTAATGATAAATAAAGGAACCACATCATTATTACAAAAAACACAAACAATACAGTTCATTAAAGGCTAAATGCTTGAGATTTTGTTGACTCTGATTACAAATATATTTATAACTTAACAATATAAATAACATTACATTTTAGCAGAAAATAATTGCATCATCCCCTCCATAAGAACGTGAAAAGATGATCATATATATGTTTCTCTTTTCAAATTATAAGTATTAACAGGTTTTCTTAATATCAATAAAAAAATTCTATATAAAATAATGAATGCCAACAATCCCTAACAATATAATGAAATCATTTCAGAAGGAATCAATGTGTACAATAGCAAAACTGGATTATACAAATGTGACACTCATTTCACTGCAGCCATTCAGAATAAATCAGTATCTCAATAATATTGTTTTCCATCAATATCCAGAAAAATTACCAGTAGATTTAAGATGCCGGTATTGTAGTTCATCCAAAATTAAAGAATAAATAATATTGTTATTTTATCTAATAAATTATTCAGTTGAATGTGAGATTTGTACTAAGTAGTAGAATTAACTTTCACAAATTTTTTATTGTTAGTAACATGTTTCTATTGTTTTCTACAAAACATCACATTCTCACACATTTCTGATTATAATTACAATTTACTTTGGCAAGAATCTATTTCATGATAAAGCTGTTTCAGCAGTTTCTCCACATTGGGTATTTTTCATTTAAATACATTAACATTAGTTATCAGAAAAGAGAAATTTAATGATATCATATTGTTGATTGCTTATCATTGATGGCAATAACGGAGAACATAGTAATGAATCCTGAAGAATATGATCACTTTTTGTGTCTAATATTCATCATCTTTTGTATGTTAATTCAGCTGAAACAATTTTTATATATTCCAATTAATAAGGGATGAATTGATGTTTGACTGAACTAATATCTCTCTTAAATTGTTTACTAAGCATTCACACAGAATCTCTTCTGAGTTTCTTTTGTGTGAATCACTGCAAGATTCACGTCTTATGCACACTAGATGTTAGTGAACTGGAATATTTGGCATTCTGACTTTTATGCAGCTTTGTAGCAATAAAAAAAAAGTTAATGGAGCACACTGGCTTCGGAGATGAACCCATTTCTTTATTGTCAACTACTTGAATTCTTCCATTCCACATTTTTGAATGATATTTGTTTACTGTTTCTTATTCCCATAACGTTCTACAGCTGTTTTTAGTGATATGATATAGCAATTTTTAACTTTGTGAGACTTCTCTAAATGGAAAGAAAAACCTTGCATATTTTAGTAGTGCTTTCAACAAATTGTTTGATGGGGCAGTATGCCTTTTTCTTTCTCTCACAAAACATTTTATGTCTTCTTCTGCTTCTTAAGATTACTTCTCTAGCTGTAACGGAAATTAGGATAACTAGTGACCAACAGCAAAATAAATGCTCCAGAAAGAAGTAACCAATGTAACTAACCATAACAGCCTTTGCAAGTATATAGTTATGTATATAGTATAGTATATAGTTTTTATACAAAGCAACGGTTCTTTACATACCATAAATATAAAAAAAAATGCTATTCTAAAATGCAACATGTGAAAAGCAAACATTTTATGGCAGTTGGGCACTTCCTGCCGTCTTGTTGCCACAAGAAGAACTGCCTATTGAATTCTGTTTATAAATAAAATGCAAGAACAGGTACAATAATACAATCAAATGATGGCAATTTTTTGTCATAATTAAAACAGTTTCTTTGTTTTGGGATTTTCCCCAAGATCCTAGGAATCTAGCAAAACAATGGGCACCTGTCACATGGCTGGAGTTTTCTTATTTTTATTCCACCTTCATTGGGTATTGATATTTAGAAGTATAGACCCAGTATGTTCCATCAGTAATCGTACATTCCATCATGAGAAAGAAATATTCTATTTTCTTCTTTTTATTTCTGAAATGGAATGATTTTTTCATGTGTATTGAAGAAAAACCAATTTATAATACAATATATACTCTGTATTTTGAAAAAGAATGCTTATAAAGAATGTACAGATTAATATCTCTTCAGCTTGGCTAAATTACCTTTCTTATTTGTACACATGAACCACATAGTGGGAATTGTAATGTAATTAGGTCCCACAACTCATCATTTCTATCAGTAGAGCTGAGGAAGTTGATTAGGAAAGTAAGATATATTTAGTGCAACACGAGTCAGTATAGGTGAAAATGCCTAAGATAAAGGAACTTACATTGGATGTCAAGAAAATTATTGTGCGTTTAGCTCTGAGAGCATATTATTTCAGAAAAATAGACATAATGGTGAACAAATCACATTCCACTGTCCAGTAAGTATACATATAGTAAACATATTTAAGAATACAGATGAAATAAAAAATGCCATGAGAAATGGTAAGAAAAGGAAGCTCAACGAGAGAGAACAGCGATTAATTGTGAGAGAGATTCTAAAAGAACCCACCTTGAGCACGCCACATCCTCAATTTGTAGTTGAGAATATGAGTAGAAAAATCATAAGTGCCTCTACTATTCGAAAAGTGTGATACAGACATGGGTATCACTGATAAGTTCACCCAAAAAAGCCTTAAGTTAGCAAGAAGAACAAGGCAGAGAGAGTAAGGTTCACAAAGGAACACTTGAACAAGAATGAAAAATTCTTGTACAATGTAATTTGGTCAGATGAGGCTGAGATAAACATGTTTGGCTCAGAAGGTATTCACACAGAGTGAAGAAAAGTAAATACTAACAATGCACTGGTAATCACACTTCCCACTATGAAGCACGGAGGAGGATCTATTATGATCTGGGGTGTATGTCATCGAGAGGAGTTGGAAATATTAATTTCATAAAAGGCAAATAGAAAACATTGTATATAACAGCATCCTGAAAATATTTGAAGCAAAGTGCTGAGATATTGTGAATATCACTGATTTACATGTTCCAACATGACAGTGATACCAAGCATCTGCAGAAATTGTATTGGTTAATAAGAAATGTCTCAAAACAACTCAATATGCCAGCACAATATCCAGGATTCAACTCGATCAAACATTTATGGGTAAATTTGAAGAGGAAAATTCATAAAGCAAATTTATCCTGCAAAGATCTGGAAATGACTGTAGCATAAGAATGGATAACCAGATATGCTGTTGCCTTTAGATCTATGCAACAAGCATAACATGTTATAAAATCAAAAGGATACCCCACCAAATATTAGAAACATTTATTTTCATTGTTTTCAGGGTACAAAAAGTAATGACACAATTTTCCTCTTTGTCTGTTTTGTTGCTCTTTATTTTCTGTTCCATTAAGTTAACAGAAGACTGCAATTTTGATCCTGTGATGTATAAAATTCAATCGAAAATAAAATAAATTTCCTTTCTAAAAAAAATTTTTATTAATTTTTTATAATTGTGTTCTCATCATGATTAAAAATAGTTTTTACTGTAATTCAGTACGAGATTAAAACAGCAAGCAGATCATTAAATAACGTTGCAATATTATGAGTCAGTATTTAGTTTTACCTACATTTGACTTTCTTTCATTTAAAATAACATTGTAACAAAAAACTAATTTTGTTTATAAGTTAATATCAAAAAAATATTTCGAAATTATTCTTCAAATGTTGGTTGTATTAAAGTAGTATACTGAAAAATATTGAACATTATAATACTGAACTTATATAATCTGAGCCAATATATTCTTATCCCACTTAATTTCCATTCTGCTACATCTTTAACTACAATAATTATCTGCTGTTATAAAAAATTATTTTTTGCTTTCTTCTTCCAGGTGACACTGTACTGGTTTCTTACCAAAATTCTTGGTATCCGGCTAGAATATTGAAAGTCAGAAGTCTTCATAAAGACGGATTCAGGGTTCATTATCTTGGTTACAAAAAGCGGTAAGGAATACTTTGTACACTTTTAAGTCAGTGATTAAGCATGGAAGTTGTAATAGACAGTAGTTGACTAGCATATTCTCATACAAAATACACTAATAAATGAACATTTCTCCACATACATTTCTCTACTCTCTAGATTATTTTATATTCTTTAACATCTATTTCTTTTTATAAATAATTATTTTCATTTGATTTCAGGTGGGATGAATGGGTCCAATCAAGCATGATAATAAAGTATACTGAACAAAATTTTGAGAAGTACAAAGCTCAAGGAAAATTTAAACCCATGTATGTCAATAAAATACCACAAATTACGTAAAAATGAGAGAAAATTGTTAGTAAATGTTCATTGTTAGGCTTTTGATTTCTTCATCACTGTATGGCTGAAATATTTGTGCTCAGGTATGTCAAGAGATTCGTGAGTCAGATGCCAGAGAAGAAACTACAAAAGCAAGAAACTCCTTCATATTCACAAAGTGATACTGTAAAGCTGAAGGAAATTTCACCAAAAATTGGGGACGTATTTCAAGATGAAATTATGCAGGTACCCTTTTAAATTATTATTTTCAAATGTTGATACACCAATTACCTGGCAAACATGAATTATGTTATGTATTTTTTTCAAGGATTCAGAGAGTAAGATTGAACCCCACGAGCAAGAAACACCTGCTTCACCACACATTGACAATACAAAGGTACAACAGGATTCACCGAAAACAGGGGAAACATACCAAGAAGGAATGAAGCAGGTACCATTTTAGATTATTATTTTTAATTGTTAATATAGCAATTGCCAGGCCAACATAAAAAATGTTATGTATTTTTTCAAGGATTCAGATAGTAAGACTGAAATGCAAGAGCAAGAAACACCTGTTAGAAACACAGGGGAAACTTGTGAAGAAGGAATCAAGGAGGAACCAGTTTAGATTATTGTTTTTAATTGGTGATTCGCCAACGTAAAATACATTATGCATTTCTTTCAAGAATCAAGAAGGAGCAAAGGAAAATTATATTGTTAACATAAAACTCAAGACTGTTGTATCCCCTTCTTGTACCATTTTTCGCCTCTGTGTACATAAAAATTCAAATAAAGGACTTTTTTCTCATAATTTTTCAGTGTTTAATGCAATAAAACCTGTCTTAAACAGTCACTAATAATACTTGGCTTCTAACTTTGGCACTAATAATACACAATAATTGGCTTCTAATATATCAAGAAAAGTAGACTCCATGATACAATTCACATTCTGAAGATATCACACCATGCATGAAAATCATCTGATTTTAAAAAACAGTCAATCCAAAAAATTAGTGTTGGCGTTATTAGCGTCCTAAAGAGTAGAGGCAGCTTACTGATTTGAAATTTGATAAAAATTGATTGATTTATATGTCCTCAATTTTTTAAATGAAAAAAGTTAAATTTATTTACTTTTAACTCAAATTAAATGTAAGTTTTGTCTTTTAATGGAGTGATGAATTGTCTTTATGAATGGGGAGGAGGAACTTTCGCCTGGGAAACCAAATGTAGTGCCCATAGATCTACTATCGCACGATTTCTGCGAAAAAAGGGAGTTTTGGAGATAAAAAAGTCACTATCTGACTTTTGTATCAAAAAGTCGATATATCTTGATCTTATATGAAGTAAATCACTTTGCCAAGTGGCAGCTCTTGCCTATTCGCATGTGCACACCCAAATTAAATCGATGCATTTTCTCTTAACTATTTCTAAACAAGAGGGGAATACAACTCCTCTTGAGCGTTTCCTAAACATGGAATTTCAAAACAGTTCTGAAGCAGCAATTGACCGTTCGCCGTTAATGCCCCTCGTGAAAACCAGTCGGCGCACACTCGGGAATTGCGAACGAGTAGGGCGCGTAGGCTGCCGTGAGGCTGGAGGGGAAAGAGGGAACAACAGTGGCCTTATGGACGGAAGGAGCATTTGGTTGAATGGGCGATAGCGCGCGAAACGCGAACGCATTGCTGTGCAGTGCGCATTTATAAGAATTATGTCAATTAAATGTTATAAGCACACTATTACATTTTGCAGTGACTTGCAATTACAAACCCATTTCGAAATAATGAAACCCTAAATGAATTTTGTAAACGTATGTAGTTGGCTAATTTTTTAATGCGTTTTGAAAAACCGAAGTTTGAGTGTTCGTTTTTATGTCAAGCGTGAAGAAAAATTTGCTGGAAAGAAACAGCGTTAGATTAGATTTCAGTATAAAAAAAATAAAAACAGTAAAACCTGTATGTGACATAGGGGGGAGAAGATTACCTGCGCACGTTTTCTTGAGTTCCAGAATCCCTTCCCGTCATCTTAACTATAAATAGTTGAAAGATGAGTAAACGTTTAACATAAATAAATAAAAATAAATTTTAAAAATTGCAAAAATAGCAATATTTAAAAAATAGTAATTTTCGTTTCTGAGTTATAGAAAACTTTTTTGCATTGGTACATGGATTGCAAGTATGATTTTTCTGCATTGCTAACAAAATAGCAACTCTCCCTTACCTCTACTCTTACCATTACAAGCAAAAGGAGAGTTCAACAAAACGTGCGCATAATGAAGCTACATTTACGTCCAGAAGCAAAACAAAGGGTAATCTCAGCATTTACTCACTGGATCAGGGAAACTGGACAAAAACCTGATCGAGTATTCGGTAACTTGTGCTTCTAGACTAAAATATAACAATGTTAAATCGAAAAATTTGGAGCCATTTTTGAGAAAATTTTGAAAATGTTGATGCTTCCTATCAACTATACCCAAAAATTAAAATAACTGCTCAGAGTGCCTCTAATTAATTTTAAATAGATCAGGGATAATTAATTTTTGAATTGGCTGAATAGTTTAGGCACTAACATTGACCAGAGGCGGGTTATCCATCCCCATCGTATAGTTTTTAATCTCCTTGATAATAGCTAAGAAATATCTCGCTTCAATTGAATTTCATACTTCATCTCCCCCGCTGATTCAGTCGGAGGAGAATTCTTGCGGCTGGCAGCTTTATCGATGGTTTACCTTGGTTTGTTAGGTCAATATGCCACAGACGGGCCACAGACCGCGAGCTTCATCCTTGTCCCCTCCTTTCTCTTTACATATGCACATACCAACCCTACAACATCAAATATTTTGGGAGACGATTTGGGAGCTAATGACTTGTCTTGGCTGAGGCGGTACCCCGCTGGAGGAGAAACCTGGAGCGAAAAACTCCCGCAGGGCGACATGTAAATCGGTGGCAGATTACGTTCAAGCTTACTACATTTACGGGACTGATGCCTTTGCCATTAATACACGGATATACTAATTCATCAATCATTGGCCAAAATCCGTTTCCTGTGCTTTGTGGCAAACATTCCATTACAGTTTCGGAAATAGAAACAAGGGAAAACAAATTCTCTCATTTTGGCCACAACTGCACATTGCGT